TTGATACAGGATGTGCACTTTTCTATTTGGGTCAAGTTCAAAAGTTTCATTTTGTCTAGCCAGCCTGCCGTCCCATAAATTCTTCAGAGCAAGGCGCAAGGCGGGCATTCGGATCCGTCAAAGAAGTGCCATAACGTGCCGCATTGGGTCTCATTAGTAGTTCTTACGGGTCAAATTAACATCCGGTTAGACTCAATAGATTCAACACTGGATGATTAATCTTACATAGAAATTAATAGATTTTAAAAATGAAAAGAATCCAGATCCCGCAGATATTCATTTAATTAAGTTGACTCTCTATTTTGATCTCAGGGTCCTGACTTGTACCACCTCAGGTGCACCAAGAAATTTACTTCCTCGGCATCTTCAATACCACAAAGCAGAGTGAGAGTCACAGCAGGGCGGCGGTAAGAGACCAAGTGGTACTAAACAAGCATAATTTCTCATTGGTGCTTCCTAGCTAGATGTAATTTTCACTTGCATGCGTTATCTAATGACTATTGTTTAAATAAATGTCTACTACCATTCTACTTTCATCCTCGTTAATTTTCTACACTCATAAAGTTCAAATATTTTTTATTTTTTTTCGAAAAAAGGAAAATATATTCTACGTATCAAAACGTAAAGCTTCATGAGCTCTTCTCTTCGTCCTTACATGTGTCTGATCTAGAATCTGAACCATAGGTGAGGGCCGTGTTAAAGTGTACAAATCATCTTATACTCTCCACAACACCTTAAACTTTTGAATGTGTTGATTTTTTTTTTACAGAACACGAGTTTAATCTTCAAGTGTCCATGTCATAAAAAAGTTGACCGCCACACTCATTTAATTAATAAATTAACACAAATTCAATTATATCTAACTTTTATCCAACCCGAATTAGAAACTTTTCAATGCACCACAACTTCAACACGATATGAACTCAAAAAGACATAACTTATTATTCACGTTAGCCTGGGTACAGAATCTCTTAAAATGTAAACATCATTGAGGCCTCCATTGGAGATATTACTGGGCCAAAGAACATAAGTATGTTTGCATTTGCTGGCCATGGTCCAGTCAAGAGGTTGACAGGTGGGTTCCCAACCATACCATCTTTTCTTCAAGCTCTTCTCTACTTTCAAACCACAAAATGTAGACCATAGGCATAGAAAAAGGGTGGATATGGATAGTTCTACCAAATTCTCATGGCAGAGAAAAAGCTTATACGTGCGTCCATAACCATTCACATGACATCATCTCTATGATATTTTTTAGTCAAGGTCAGTGGAACGGTCACATTATAATATTTTTAATAAATTAAATGTATAATAAGATAAATAAAATTTTTGTATATTTCAAACGACGCCGTCTCACTGGTGAAGACTACAGATTAAGAAGACGTCATGTTCACGAACTTTTGGATGTCTAAACGTTGTCATTTCGTCGTAAAGAATTCATTTGTTGCCGAATAAAGGGCGAATCCAGCAAAACACTTGAATCCCCACGCACCACGTGGCCCATTTTCTCCACCGCTACCCACGCAAACCACGAACTATAGTGCACCGCAGAACTCAGTGCGCCACCAAACCTGTAACCGAGAACCCCCGGTCACCGGCGGTAAATTGGAGATGGCGTCGGTGACCACATGCCCAACACTGCTACTAGTGTGCCCCAACAAGAACAAGTACAGCTCATTTGTCCCAACAACCAAGTCCTTCTGTTCAAAACCTCAGTCACGGCGTTACAGACGAGTCGAGAAGAAGAGACTCAAAATGGGTGATCTTCTTGTTTGTAAGGCGACCCCCAGGAAATCCTCAACCAATACCAAAATCAATGACAGTGCTATTAGCACCACGACCCCGGAAATTAATGAGAATGTACGGAGAGTAGTTCAGATTACTTTGTGGGTTACTGAGGGAATCTACATCTTGTGGCTCTTCTTGCTTCCCTATGCCCCTGTACGTAAAATTATTCATTTTC